TAATTTAAAGATTAATTGATGGTTAAATTTATCATTAGTTGCCATCCTAACACACACTTCTTGTACACATACATATTTCTCCCTGCTGCTCCGCTGTTCCTCCAGGGTTGTGGTGGAGGGTCTGAGGCCAATCCTCAGAGGCATCAAAGAGATCTCACACAGCTGATACCACATTAGCCTTCGCTCTTCTCTTCCTCTTGCCCTCCCCCCAGCTGTCATCTGCCCTCTGCATGACTTTACTCTCCTCTTTTCCCTCACTTCTTCAATATTCTATCCTCTCACCCGTGCCTGGCATCTTTCCTCTTCTTACCATCTCTCCTCAGCTGTCCTCTCCGTGCTCCCCTCCCCTGCTGCTGCTCCTCCCTTACTTTCCTACCTGCTCTTCATCTTCCTTGAGTGATAGGAGCGAGACAGAGACATGGCAAGAGGCGAGGAGGGGAGACCGCAGAGAAGTCACTTCATCAACCACAGTCTGATAATTCATCAGCAGCTGTTTAACGTGCTGCTACTTCATCTTCATTAGCAGCCGCTGGTTTCGCTTCATAAAAGCCATTAGAAAAGTTGTCATCAAAAATCCCGCAACACTTTGTCCATGTACCCTTGTCCCCTTCTCTGCTATTATCATGTGATCAACTTTCTACTGAATATTATTGCAGTTGCAGGAAATGACAGGCGATGTTAAAACCTCTGCACAGGAATAGAGTTTTAGGTGATGAAATCCATTTTTACTGAGGAGAAATTAAATGAGCCACATTAAACAATGGGCCTGAGATATCAATGTTTTATCCAGAATAGATTGGAATAAAATGAAATGTATGCATAACCATTTGAAATGAAACCATTTCTAGAATGAATTTATTCTGCAGCATATCAGATCAGAATGGGTAATAATGTTTGCCACAGCGCTAATGCAGGGGGGTGTGCGTGCGTGCGTGTGCGTGCGTGCGTGCGGGGGACGGGCTGGTTCAGCGTTGTAATTCTGTTTGCTTTTTTTCACAGACAACTACTGGAACGCCGCATCATTCACCACCCCATCATCCTACCTGCACTTTGCCACCTTCCAGGGTGAGACCAGCGCCGACATCTCCTTCTATTTCAAGACCAGTGCACCCTATGGCGTCTTCCTGGAAAACCTGGGCAACACTGACTTCATTCGCTTGGAGCTCAAATGTAAGATGGATCGGAGTGATTCTGTGTGTGCATGAGAGTAATTTCTCTCCATGTTTGTCTCTCTTATTCTCCCTCTCTCACTCTGACTCTTTATCTGGCCTAGTGTGAGGTTTAATCCAGCCGTCAGTCTGATCGCACGGTGTGTATTTCGTCACCACACACACGCTCAGAGTCACATAGACACACAGACTGATGCAGACGCACACTCCAGCAAGTCAATTGGCTTCCTGATTATGGCGCACTACTTTGTGTGATTGCAAGAGAGAGCAATCATTTATTTAAGGTAATTGGTGTGTGCAATAATTATGTCCATTATGAACCTCTGTTTAACCAAATCACCCATTTTCAGGGATGACAAAACACAAGCACTCACGCACACACACATATACGGACATACACTGTCTCCCTCTTTCTTTTTCTAAAAACCTTCCTGCAAATAGGAGCGTTTAAATCTCTTAAAAGTTTGCCCCCACAAAACACAAATCCACACACACAGATAATAATCGTGCTAGATAATAAGCTGGGCAGAAACAAAAATTCTGAAAATCAGGTAACTAGCTCTTCATTTTATGATCTGGTTGTTCTACTAATGTCACACTACGCCACTGGTAGCAGTGTAGGAAATCCGCCCACATAACCCTTTCACAAGCCCGCAGTAATACTTTCACTTTCCATTAATGGCTTATTTAAAGGGTATTTAGTCCATTCAGAATAAATGTAGACTACACAATGTAACATCTATGATGATCTCTGGATTGATTCTGATATATTAACAGAATCATCTCCTTGTGCAGAACATGACTTTCCTTTGATGGAAATGATTTCTCTAATTTGAATTGGTTGCTTTGTTTTTTTCATAGCGATGACTGACTGTGAATTCATTAAATAGTATTGTTATTATTTAGGAAACAGTAATTTTTGAGAAGCATAGGGATGGGTGGCTTTACTCGTGACTCACAGGTTTCCTTCTATATTTATGGGCTACTTGTCCTGTGTTATTGCCTCAGTAATTCTTTTCTTTGTAAAGATTATGTTCATAGATGCTTTAGGAATAATATATATTTTATTGCTTGGCTACATCTCTATATTAAGATACAGGCAACAATTGTATGCTAGGCAGCTAGCGAGTATGATATTTTTAAGTGATCTTATCGATATGGTTATGTAGATTAAAAAAATAATAAGTAAAATGATTGTATTAAACAGAAATAGCTAAATTAGATAATTAAAAGGCAAAGCAAAGTGCATTCCGAGGAAAGATGCACAGTGGATGGAACACTTAGAATTCCAAAAAGAGACTTGACTTGCACTTGCATAAAATGACTTGTGAAGATCTCTGGCCACCACTCATTAAATATTAAAAACCATCAGTCAGAGAACAGTGACTAGTGTCAGCTACAGCCCGGCTCTTGGACTGCAACAAAAACACGGGTGACACACAGGTAAACTAAATAACAAAGGGATTTATTAAGAAAATAAGCAAAAGCAATGAGTGGGAAGAATCTGTAAAGTCAGTAGTGTGGGGAGTGGATGGGTGAAAATGGATGTTGTGCTGTAAAAACAAAGACAAGGAAACCAAACACAACAAAGCAAGTTGTGAGATGAGGATGTCCAACCGAGATTGACTGCTACTCTTATAAGCATTGGGCACACCAGGCCCAGGTGTGTCCCATGTTGCTGATTACCCTGCCTATCAGGTCTGCAGCCCTGGAGACAGAAAGCATATAAAACAGCAGTATGAACCCTGCAGAGGGGCCGTCACACTAGGCATATACTGTAAGTGAGGTGTCATCAGTATGGAGAACATAAAGATGAGTTTACAGAAGGCAGCTACAGTCGCTGTCAAATCAAAATGAGACATGCACAGGCCCCTACAGGAAGTCAAGTCTCTGCATGATGTTTTTTAAAACTTTTTAGATGATTTTTTTTTAAGTGTTAGCGCTAATGTATTTAAAGTACACACAGCTGTTGTTGGCATCGAGCCTTTACCTCCGCATCAGGTGGTGTTTTAGTTCATACCAATATGTATATTTGAGTTTGGTTTCAGAGGGTTTAAAGAATCCATGAAATTTAGTTGAATTGTAGCCTACAATACAAATTAGGCCATCCAAGTATTTGTGGTGTAGCAGGTATTAAAATGTTATTTTTAAATAATTAGCCAAAGCCAAAAAAGTGGCGTTACTTTAAATTACATTTGCTTGACAAATGATCACACCTCATTGGGAATCGTTTTGTTTGTATATAAATGCAGTGTGTTTTTCTTTTAAACAAAGACCCACATTGTTAAGGTACACATAGTGTTTATTTTCCTTATTCTTCATATTTTTAAAAAAGAATTATATAATTATAAGAAACCCATGTATTCTACTCAGACAGTATTGGTTTAAAAAGTCTCAAGTGTACAGTCAGATAAATTAGAGCAGTGTTTATGTGTTGTTACCTTTTAGTCTTTGCAATTCAATGAGGCAATGTTTGACTTGATGCGGGCATTTGTTTAAGGAAAAAATACAGTTAATACATACAATAAAATACAACTTTTTTCCTCTATATTTGTGCTTAAAGACTACTGTTATTGTAGTTCCTACACTATAACCCATACTGGTTATTACACTGGATCAAATTCAAAAGGATAAAATGCTCTTGGAATAGACATATTAAGTAAGATAACATTAGAGACTTCAGACTTGACTTACATTTTGTGACTCATGAACATCTATGCTTTCACCACACCATGTCATACATTAAGGCTTTTAGAAAAAAAGTGTCAAACGTTAGAAGGAAATGGACGAGATGGCAACAGCACAGAGGAGAAGGAACCTTTTTTAAATACCAAACAGTGGGAAAGCTTTGCACGACCCCATTTCACATTCTCTAAGTTTTTTCTGAGACTTATCATTGACACGTCATCCAGCAGGTTTTTGTGATCATCTTCCAGCGGCTCAAATTGTTAAAATCTCTGGGCTTCAATTTAATCGGCGAGCTGCATTGTGACGGGGGTTCCTGGCACATCATGGCTGTCGATAGAAGACTAATTGCATTTCATTTGGATTCAAAGGGATTTGAGCATTTGGTTTCAAAAGCGCTCACTTACCATTTCCTTCTGGTGTGCCTGGCCCGCCATTTTGTGTCAAATGCCAACTACTGAACAGACACAAAGTCGACAGATTATTTGGGAGCCAAAGTCCTTTCTAAAGCCATTACACTGCTGTCAGCTGGTTTGTGGCCTAAAAGTTCCATGAGCTTTTTATTTTCATTATTTTACAGCTGAACTAGCTTTTACACAAAGCCGAACTCCTATACATGCACACACTTATTTGTGCAGAAAAAATGTGTTGACACTGTACTGTACATGCAATTACAGTGAGGTGTTTGCCAGAGGGTGTTGGTGTTTGTCTTCTAAATGTGCACACAAAAACACAAACAAATATACAGTAAGTATCTAGTCTGTCACGGCTGCACAGCAGGCCAGAGGAGATACGGAGTGTGTGTGTGCGTGTGTGTTTGCATGTGTGTGTCTCCAGAGGCTTTCAAAATACCCCCACATCGATTTCCTCTCGCCTCTCCCTTGCTATCATTTTGCCCCACAGCACACATTTAGACACACAACAGCAAAACGACTTGCGCACACACACACACACATAAACACACACATAATCTCTGCCCTCTCGCTGGTGCAAAAACTGTATCTGCTACAATCCCGTCAGGGCATGAAATGAGTAGCATTAGGCCAGAATAGCATAGCTGTGCTATTGCAGGAGCTCAAAGCACATTCACACACTTACAGATACACACCCACAACCTTGTACAAAGCACACATTACTGGGACCTCAGCAGACTCAGGTGGACTTTATTCTTCTTTGAATCTTAATAGGAAGAAGGAGGCATAGCCACATTTGAGAGGGAGCTTTGAAGACGTGTTCAGAACCATGTGGACTGGACTGGTAACAGGATTGAGGACAGATAGAAAGGTCCCTAAATAAAGAAATGCTTGACTTCTGGGGTGCTCTGTGGCTCAGTGGAAAGTATGTATCTGCCATGTTTTGAGTCCTTAAGAGGCTGCACTTTCAGTGATAGTCTTGCCCAAAGGTCATACACATTTTCAGTCTGGGCTCCAGCTATGAAATGTACTTTCCTGATGGAGACCTTGGTGTATAAAATTGTACTATTGCATTTTTTTATGTGAGGACCAGACAGAGTAGTGTACATCTGAAGTTTAGCAGTAGTCTATGCAGCTCTTGATGCACTAAGAATTTGTTAGACTCCTCTTCAAAAAAGTGTGAGAAGTTCATATTTATCTCACTTTATCTTTCTACACGCTAAAAAAACTCTGGATTCTTTGCATTGTGATCATACAGTTTTTTTGCTGACAAGCACAAAAAAAAACTTTTGTTGTCACAAAGAGATGCTTAGCCTTTGAGTAGTTGCTTTAAATCTTGTTTCAGGTTCAACAGCCGCAGGTTTTGCTATGGCACTGTGAGTCTGGCTCACGCTTACGTAGAGTTTTCCCTCCTGATAGGGGCCAGACTGTTCCTGCCATGCCAAGAGTGACAAATGCAGATAAAAAAGCAGATGAGACAAAAAACAAAGAATTAGCAAGTATAACAGAAAATGGATAAAACACTGAAAATAGATGAAGAGCAGCAAAATGTAATGTCACATTAGACAAACACACAGACACAAATACGCACACCCACGCAAGGAGCGATTTTTAACACAGACATACACAATCTCTTTATCCATCTATATCATTGTTTTGTTGTGCTGTGCTGATGCTAAATTTACAACTTGGCTCTTTTAGCCTCCATATTAAGAGATTAATAGAAAGACAAATGGTGAAAATAAAAAGCACTGCTGGGGTTTCTCTAGGCCAACATGTAAGTATATCTCACACACACAAAATTACATTCACACGCACATTAACACTTACGACATCCATCACGGCTATGCAAATAGATGAGGCTGTGCTCTGAGGGCACTTTAGTTTTCATTCCTGCCTGTGGACAGAGTATGAAAAAGAAAGTTGTAAGGCATCCGTCTTGCTTTGCAGTGCTCCTAATGCAACACCCAAATAATCAAACACTCATATGCCGTATAGCAGCATTGCTATAGCTTTGTCTCTATTGGGGCATTCAGATATATGTTTGGCTTTCTTTCAGCATTTAAAATAACTGATGGCGCTCCTCCCTGCCCTGCAGACCTGCCCTGTGCATACAGGCATCATTAATTCAGAGTACTAAAGCCTGTCAGAGGGCTTGTACTTCCCGTGTCACTGTGGGCGCATGCATCTACTTGTTTTCATGCTGCTGTGTGTTGTGTATTATGGGTAGTTGAATGTCTTTCAGATTTATTTTATTGGTTCATGCACTCAGGACATCCAGATAAGCTTTGGCTGAGATGATTTCTGGTGTCTTTGCACTTCACCTAAGAGGAAATGATAATGTCTGCAAGAAAGGGATCAATGAAAAAAGTGAGGAAGAAAGGAATGATGGGAGGGAGGAAGGGAGGGCACAGTAACTGATGAGACTGATAAGCAACGGAAGTGAAGCAAGCAGTAAATTAACAAACAATGAAGAAATGAAAGAATAATGAAGTAATACATAGGCAAGCGAGGATGGACTCGGTGGGGATAAAAGGAGGAAAAAAATGAAAGCGAACAAAGAAAACAAAGTGAGGGAAACAATGAAGGAACAAACAAAAAGGAGGTAAGAAAGAAACAGAGGAACTATACATGTATTGTATGAGCAATGCAAGAGTTAGAAGAAAAGAAAAATAGGTAGTGAAAAAAGATAATTAGATGAAAGCAATATGAAAAGGAGGAATGGGCCAGGTTTATTGATTAGGCAATGGGAAAGAAGAAAGTTCATTTCCCCATTGACTACTACATAAAATGATCCTCTCTAATATCTGAGCCTAATGAAGCCATAATGAAGCAGTAACATATAGTGCGATGAAGTGGTTGTTCATCATCTCTATGATTGCAGCACACTGATGCCAATAACCACCATATGCCACCACCCAGAATATATAGCTTTTATATAGCAGCCTCGCAGTGGTACCAAACATTAAGAAAGAGTCAAACTGGGTTTTAATTTGACATTTGCAAAATTGTCTTTCTAGCAGCAGAAATAATTCCCTCATTGTTTTGTCATTGTTGCTTCATTTGCTTCGTAGGTCAAGGCAACAAGATTCCTTTGACATATTGCAGCGGCAAGCATTTATTGAATGTCTCTCGTCCGTACACAATGAATATGTTCACATCTTATAACTTATGAATCCACACCAGTAGTATCTTGCAGAGGGGATCATGTAAAGCTATATATTATCTAGTATGTCTGGTTAGTAGTGTTTCAAAATAAAAAATTTAATTTCTGGCCTTGTGGACATGATTATATCAAGTTGAGATAGAGTTGAAAATAAGAACACACACAAATTGCACATTCTTTGCCTCTTTTTTCAACTCCTTTTCTATCATAACAGACACACATAATGTGTATAGATGAATCATTGTCCCCTACAGAGAGGTTAAAAGCCATCAGAGAGTGACCTCCCCAGTGCAGTTGAAAGTAACATCTGGAATGGACAGGTGGTAGGCTGAAACACACACACACAGACACACACACACTGTAATTCAGAAATATTGATAAACAGTTGACCTGTCATGGTCATAAAAGGTATAACAGTGCCCCCTGTTGGTCTGTTGAATGATTAGGCTACGGTATTACCGAGTAGACAATAAACTTTAAGGCATTTTAACTTCCTTAATTCCCCATAACACTTTCCAAACACACACTCTCACACGCACATATGCACACACACACACACAAATCCACTTAATTTAAGATGATAAAAAATAATCATGCAGGAAAAAAGGCCATCTTGCACTAATTTTTCATGAATTTTCTCTTTCCTTCTTGTCATTCATCTTCAGCTCTCGCTCTCTGTTTTGTCTCTAATTCTTTAGCTTTCCTCTCTCCTACAAAACTAGGGAAACCTCTAAAATTTAAAAAACAGCAAAAAAAAAAAAGGACACATGGAAACTGCTGCAATACAACTTTGTGTCATGCAAAACCAACAGTTCTTGGCATCTATCGACTGTCCGTGAGATTAGTCCTGTCCAAAGCTGTGAGCAGTCGTGTAGTGCAAAGCTGAAATCTATACAAGCCAAATGAATGGCCTTGAAACAAATGAGCCATTAGATTAGAAATTGAACGCATATTTACCTGCGGAGCGGACTATGACAGAACAGAGATTTATGGGTTTTAGAAAGTTGTGAAGTTTGTTTCGTGTGGTTTAATAGATGACTTCTGTAACTAAGATTTCTTATTCTTATTATTTCTTCTCCTCACACTCTGTCTGCAGCTCCTAAAGTAGTCTCCTTCTCCTTTGACGTTGGAAACGGACCTGTGGAGTTAACAGTACATTCCGCCACACCCCTCAATGACGACCAATGGCATCGCGTGATGGCCGAGCGAAATGTCAAAGAGGCAGTCCTTCAGTTAGATCAGACACATCGGGCATCTCGGCTTGCTCCGGCACAGGGGCACACACGGCTAGAGCTGTTCAGCCAGCTCTACGTGGGTAAGACACGCACACACACACTCCCATACAATCCAAAAATAATTAACAACCCTTATGTGTAAGAATGACTCACGTACACACATTTATTTGCAATTTGAACATTTAATATCCACTTTGTGTAAGAAGGATGCTCACAGAGGCGAACACACCATCATTACGAGCATTTATGCGTGGAAAGCAAATGCCTAGTACACATGATCCATGTAATCATAATTGAATTGAATTAAAAAACTATTTGCGCTCTCTGAATACGTTCCATCCATTGTGAGGACGTCTGATTGTTTCAGAAGTTAAAGATGTAGCAGCCTTTGCTGGAAATCACTGGGTTTTCTTCTTAAGAGGCTTCAGTCCAGCTTAGTCACAGGCACTGCTAATTAAGTTCATGTTAATCCGACACACACACACACACACACACCCATTTCACATTTTATAATATGCGCACACGTGTTCAGAAAGTCATCCATGTAAGTGATAAAGAGTGAGCTTCAATAAAGTGAGCCTCTGTGCTGGCTATGACTAAAACTCACTCAACTCACTTATAAAGGTCATTTCTTTGATACTTTAATACTTTGACACAGCAGTTATATTGCTTTGGATTAAGAAACTATTATTGCACAAAGAGGATATCAACCCTCTGACTTTCCTTCTACCACACACGTTCTGTATTAGCTGTCAGACAGATCAAGCGCTTGTTATCACGACAATTATGCCTGCATTTTGTAAAGAGGTCTGGTTTGTTCCTTATGGTTTCATCTTCCTCTCCACACAACGCCTTTCAAGCTCATCAGCAAGCTGATGATCTGTCCAGTTCTCTCCCTATGCTTTCACTTCTCTGTCTCCTCTTTCTACCTTTTGTGCTGAGCTGTCAATACTCTATAAACCAAACTCCAGGGCTAAAATAGTTTTAGGGATTTGCGGATAGAAGGGAAAGTGCTGAGGCGGATCACAGACTTCCTACTGTCTCATGAAAAAAGTTCTGCCCAAAGGAGATTGTTCCAAATTCCAATCAGGCATCCCGATGTGATAGCCTTACCCTCCCTGATCCCCGTTTATAATATTATTTCATCGTCTCATCACTTTTGCTGAATTGAACGCTGCTGAAATATCCTTACCTTATCATGTCCCAATTTGCCTTTCGGCGTATTTGTGCTTCCATTTAGTGAAATGGAAAAGGGCTAGAAAGGTTTCATCACTAAGCAACTCGCAGCTTTGAGGCCGGGGAATGCAATGTCTTAAAGGTAGCTCCTCGGCCATCACCTCATTTGCATGCTTGTATTCTGGCTTTTTTGGTCAAAGGACGACAGGAGAACTCTCAGGCCTGCTGTGTGTGGCACACATCTAGAAACACAAGTGTTGGTGGAAGAGACAGAGAGAAAGCAGGGAAAGACTTGTATGTAAGAACAGCCACAGGGGCGACAGCACCTTCTCATATCTGATCTCTAATCCCTGCTTAATCCTCATTTGAGGATTGCTTTGGGAAGCTAGAGTGTGACACACAGGAAGTGACCCAGCCACTAAAGGTAAGTGGTTTTAGATTTGGCCCCTGACATCCAGGAAAGATAGAGATCCTTTTGTGTTTGATCGAGCGATTTGATTGGGAATTGTAAGGAGAGCCCTGCAGGCATCGAGATTTTGTCTGAACTCGCCTGATTCTTCTTTTTATTCCTCTGCCACTTCACACGTTGTCTGTGATTCATATTGATGAGCCTCTTTTGAAAGTAGAGAGGTAGAAAAAAAAACTAGGCAATCCAGAAGAATTTTAAAAAAAAATCTGTTTGTATGATTTCACATAAGGTATAAACAACAACAAGAAACTTTATTTTTCTCACCTCGTTCTCATATTTGTCTCTGTATCATCTCCTTCTCTCTTTCTCAATCAATATGCTCCTCATCAAGCATTTGATTGCTTTAGTGTTTACTGCACAGTGGCTCATTTGCTCTAATGGCCTTGAAAGTAAATGTTATACCGTCAGCCTGCTGTCATTTACTTCACACTGTTAACTTTTAGCTCTCCAATTCACTCCATAATGCACATAACTATAAATCGTGCCACATTTTATTTATTTAATGCCACCATCTGTTCTTTTGATTTCCCTCTTGATTAATGCTCACTATCACACTTATTTATGATTTTGCATGTTTTTCCTCAATTCTCTCATGGTTGGATTGTTTTGTCTTTCTTTTTCTGCTTTGGTTTTTCATTTCCTTGCCCCTGCCTTCATGGATCGACATCCATGCGTGTGCGACACCTGTCACAGGGAAGCCAGCCTCACTCACATGCCAAGACAGTAGGTAACAATTAATGAGTAAAATAAAAAATGTCTGTGTGACGCTGATTGTGAGAGTAAACACAAACGCACGTGTATGAAGACCTCACCTACGTGTTTTGCTGCATTACATGAGTGGTGATTAAAGT